CCCCTCAGTAATCCATGGTATCATCCAGATGAGGCTACTCTATGATGCTGGCTAATTAAGACAAGCCTAAGAGCTTTTCTAGATATTGTCTGAACTCGGGTGTAAAGAAGGACATTATTCAAAAATATAAAACCAGTCTAACAGCCCCTCCCTCCATCGTGGTGAAGGCAGGTGATAACTGTCTCTCTGCCCTCTGCCAGCTGCAGCTCTGGTCTTGCTTCAGTCTTTAACTCTCTGTATTCAATTCAGGAAATATCCATTCATAGAATTTACACCTGCATCCCAACTACATCGCATCCAGGGCAAAGCTGGGCTCTCCAGCTACAGCTCTCACCAGCACCTTCTTTCCTAACCACACCAGTTTCTAGTGATGTGACTTCTTCCACCTTGACACTGCCAACGAGAGGTTAGCCCACCTATGGATTCATGAAGGCCTTCAGCTGGGGAAGGGCACATGGACACCTCGTCTAGAATGCATGAGACAATGCCTGCAGAACACTTTGAAGGCAGGACACTGTGTGTGCCCCACATGCTGCTTGTGACCGCTCTGTTTACTGCAGGAGAACGGGGCGGTCCTAAGGAGCTCCCTCCTACAGCACTTTCCTCAACTTAAGTCCCTGCAGGTACCCCTTTATGCTGGCCCTTTCCATGAACTTACCTTTCACATGCCACATCTCAGCTTCATCCTACAGATCAACCTCTTTCCCCAAGCCATTCCAGGCAGCTATCTACCCTACCTTTGGGGCTCCCACGGAGGACATTCTGCCAGGGTGTTTAGGGAGCGAAGAGAAATGACAGAGGGAACAAGTGAACAATGGAATGGAGCAGGAGTCAGGGACAGGATGCTATGTGAATGGAGATTCTCCTACCCCTTTGACAGGGAAGTGTGGAATACAGGCGCCTGGCCAGATTCTTTAGCTCAAATGTACTTGCAGCTGTAGCAGAGAAGCGCAGCCCTGGGGACCACTGATCTCTTCTATGCCCACTGCTGCTGCTAATTGCAGATAATGCATTAAAAATAAGGGGCAGCATCTGCTCATTCTAACATGTGTATCAAGGAGTTTGGGTGGTTTATAATGACAGGATGTGAGCCAGAGGTGTTGCTGCAGAAATAGTAGTAGGATCGTGCTCACAATACCAAGCGAGTCCTCCTGGCATGGGCACTAGAGAGTAGATCGGGTAACCAGCCAAGCATAGAATGTGTGTTCAGGTGGGGGACCTCACTCTGGTGTTTGCAAAGATGTCCTGAAATCAGAGGACCAGGATGGGAAGAACAAGCCACCTCTCATTACTCACCCACTCCCCAGAAAGCACAAGGTGAGCTTATAACCAAACTGCAACATGGAATGTTTAAAGGGCGTTGTGCCTAGGAGTGTGGTTCAGTGATACAACCCTTTCCTGGCATGGTCAAGGCCTTGGGTTCCATTCCTAAATCCTTGAGGATAATGTGGGGGATAGGGAAATGGATTAGTCTGTAAAGTCCTTGCTGTCTGAACAAGGATGAGGACCTGAGTTCAGATCCCCAGCATCCATGTAAAAATCTGTGGATGATGTTGGTGCATGCCTGCATTTTCAGTGTTGGAAGTTCCACGGAGTTAACTGTCCAAGCAGTCTAGTCAGATTTGTGAGTTCCAGCCTCAGTGAAAGACCCTGTGTTGTGAAAGTTTCCACCTTGGATAGGAACAGGGATGGAGGCCAGGCCACATCTACTTATCCCTTCCTCGTAAGGTCCAAGCGACTATCCTTTGTGAGCAGGCCCAGATGAACTGGGCCTGATGGCAGTCGTGTAACCAGGAGGATAGTCCTATACAACACCTTGACTCAAAGAATAAGGTGGCAAACAATCAAGGAAGACATTGTGGTCAACCTCTGGTTTCCACAGTCTCTCTCCTCTCTCCTCTCCTCTCCTCTCCTCTCCTCTCTCCTCTCCTCTCCTCTCCTCTCTCCTCTCCTCTCTCTCTCTCTCTCTCTCTCTCTCTCTCTCTCTCTCTCTCTCTCTCTCTCTCTCTCTCTCTCTCTCTCTCTCACACACACACACACACACTACCTACCTACCTCATTCAGATTTCATTTTGTTTTGTTTTTGGTGTTTTCTTGTTTGATTATATAATCCAGCCAACCAGCCTGGCCTTGAACTTGGAGCAACTATTTTCCTGTGTTCACCTCCTGAGTGCTAAGATTATAGCCTTCCATCTACATGCTCCACCTTTTTAGGCCTATTTATTTATTTATTTATTTATTGGTTTTACGAGTCAGGGTTTCTTTGTATTATTTTGGAGGCTGTTGGTCCAGCCTGGCCTCGAACTCACAGAGATCCACCTCCCTCTGCCTCCCGAGTGCTGGGATTAAAGGCGTGTGCCACCACCGCCTGGCCAGGCCTTTTTATTAAGCTAATTACACTATTACATTAAATTGTTGCAAGCAGTAGCAAGCATGGCGTAAACATCAACAACTTTATTATTATTGTTTTTAATCTGTGGGAAGCATTGTATCAGGTTTTAGGATACTAGATGAGTGTCTTGCCCTCCTCCACCAGCTGGGGAAACAAATAGTAGTTATAGCTTACTATGCACTGTGATGGCTGCTGATGGGTTACATAGCTTTATGGGAGCACAGAAGAATGGGGGGTCTGAGTGGAGGGGCTTCCTGGAGGAAGTAATGCCTGACCCATAGGACAATCGGAATACTCCCTGACCTAAAAGATAGAAAGGATGGCCCTGAGGCAGGTGAGAGGGCTCAACAGTTGACACTTGTCCCCAAAGCCTGGGGACCTGAGTTGGATCCCCAGGACCTATGTGATGGAAAGAGAGAACAGACTCCCACAAGTTATCCTCTGACCGTCTCCACACGCATGCTGTGGCACATTTATGCAATGCATTCACATAAAATAAATAGAAGGGTGGTCCTAGAGCATAAGGCACCACAACTAGGGTGACGTTTCTAGTGGAGAATCCGTTATAGGACCTCAAAGTGGGTGTATCAGTTATCTACTGCCTGTCACAAATTACCCCACAACTTATCAGTTTGGTATAATATTCTCTCCTGTGCTTGGGGGTGGCTATGTAGGAGTCTCAGGCTTTAGATTCCTACTAAGGTAGATCAGATTGTCCACCAGGACTCCCACTGGGGAAAGAAAAGCTTCCAAGTCTCTGGTATGCAGGCTGCAGCTCCTGGTTGCTGTTTATGGGAGACCACCTCAGTTTCCTTTCACAGGGCAGCTCTGACAGGCTGCTCTGCTCATCAGAGCAAGCCAAAGAGAAGATGACAGAAGCCATGGTCTTTTCTATATAAACTGCTATCAGAAGTGACACCCCACTACTTTTGCTGTATTCAAGTCATTAAAAGCGAATTTCTGGGTCCAGACCACACACAAGGGAATAGGATGGCCCCAGAGCAAGGATGGAGCATGGAGAGGTCACCCTGAGTCACTTCGAAGCTGCAGACCACAGTCTACCCCCTGGTCCCTGCTGATTCCTGTCTCTCCCATGTGCAAGTGTCACTTGTTCCCAAAGTCCCAGCCCATGATGGCATCCCCAGGTGAATCTGGTCCAGTGTGCATGAGGCTACTGCACACATTCCTTAAGTAGAGACTCCAGAATGCTGACCATTTGGCAATTTTCAAAATAGAACAACAAAAAGACCCTTCTCCATGTCTTAACATAGAATGGCATTGGGTCATAACTACAAACATTTCTGCTTAGAAGGGAAACACCAGGCATGGAGGAGTCATCTGGCCCAGAAAATTTGAAATCCATCCAGAAAAAAAAATGTGACTGTTTCTTTGATCCCATTTGAAAGCCTGGGACAGTTCTCTGTAACTCAGGACTCCTACTTCTCAACTACTGGCATCTTTCCCATGAGTGCTCTTTCTTTAAAAGCTTGTGTTTGGTGGTGCCTTGGCTCTTTGTGCAATAGCCCTTTTAAATGTTGTACTGGGTCTGGTGTAGTAGCGTGTACCTGTAATCTCAGCACTTAAGAAACTGAGACGGGAGCATCACTGTGAGTCTGAGGCCAGATAGATTGCAAGACTAAAAAAAATTATTAATCTACCAGTTCGTTAATAAATTTTGCTCTTTCTCAGCCCTTTTCAGCCCTGGCTGTCAGTCTTTTCTTTAGTAAGATTTTTCTTGAAACTTTTGAGGGTCTCCTGTAACTCTAACTGACATCACCAACATATTCACTAGGATTGTCCGCAAACAAAAGAACTGAACTCTAGCCCTGGAGACTACTTGTGCTGCAGCTTGTGACCCAGCTAAGATCGATATAGCCAGATCCAGACACACAAACCTAAGAGGTGTGTCATGCCACTAGGCTTTGAGTTTATTTGTTATCACATGGAATATATAGTGAATGTAGAGACCATGAGACTTGCTCCTAATTTCTTGACTACAGCAACACCCACATATTCATTAGGACTAGGCCTTCCCTACCCAGGCCTCCAGCTGCAACAGCTAAGGGGCAGCTCCCCTAGGTCCCACTGTGCCTCTTGTTTGATCTGGAAGATGCTTGAGGCCAAACATGATCTCTAGGAGTCTCTGAGAACTTTTTGATCCTCTGAAATCTTAACCAAAGGCTTGTACCATTCTCACCCCACCTCATCTCCAAACATCTCTCCTGGTGTTGAACTTCATTTGCTCTCCGGAGAAGGAAATTTCAAAAGGAGAAGGTCCCGGTGCCTCTCTAGTTCAGAGATTTCCTCCCAAGGATGTAGTGGAAATCCCATCTAGCCCCAGACACCTCCTCTTTGCTATGAAACCACAGACAACAGCATTGCTGAACTCTGCTGCATGAAGGATGCCTTTCGTCCAGTTCCTGATACACGCTCCTCACTTCCCCTGAGCTCTCACGGGCACCACCTTCCATGTCTGCCTTTCAACATTCAGCTTGAATGTTTGAACTCTAACAATCTTCCCACCAAAAGCACTCCTAGCCTTTGCCCACCAGACACCTGGTCCCAGAGCTGTGTCACATTTTACAGGTCTGTATCGTGTCTCTCTTACCTTGATGTCCAAATCTTCATCCACTCTATTCCAGGTGGCAGCAAATGACCTCAAGCCCTAGGGGCATGAAACATGAAACACCTCTTGGGTCCTGTGTGTCAGGAATTGGGGGCATCTAAGCTGGGCCAGAAAAACAGGTGGCCCTGGATCTGCAGAGGCCAATTCTTGTCTAAAGACACTTCAGTTCCTGGCTCTCTCTTGGTTCTTGGATGACCAGGCTGGGTATGACAGCTCCCATTGTGTGTCACTGCCATCTACCTTATATGCTTTGCCTTGTGACCCTCTTTCAGGGTCAGTTTTCCATGTCATTGTGCTTTGGGCAGGCAAGAAGAGCTATGCAAAGTCTTAGAATTTATAGCTCAATATTTTTAAAAAAGACACAGTTGGGAATGTATATCAGTTAGGTAGAGGTCTGCCTTTTATCCACAGAATGCAAATAAAAGAAGCCAGGCAGGATACTCTTGTAATCTCATCACAGGCTAGAGACAGGTAGACCGTTGGCAAGTTCCAGTCCATGAGAGGCCGTGTGTGTGTGTGTGTGTGTGTGTGTGTGTGTGTGTGTGTGTGTGTGTGTTCTAAGCATCTTAAAAATGACATCATTCTCTGACTTCCACACACATGAACATAAATAACAAGCCAACATTTTCGCACTGTTTTGTTTATTGGAATGGAGCCTCTAAATCCAGCCTACAGGAGTTGGGTAGGGTAACACAGGATGCAAGTATCAGGAGGTGGGGCCGCTAAGAGCATCTTATAAGCTCGGAGACAGTGTGACTGGTGAGGCCTCCATGGCCTGATTATGTCATGTCTGGCTCCCACAGGTGACAGGAGACCAGGTAAACATGTCATTGTTGAAGGGGAGAACCTTAGAAGCATAGCCAGCAGTTTGCACAGCACTGCTTGGAAGGGAATCCTAAATAAGGGTAGCAAAGCTGTTGGGGGGAGTGATCTAACAGGAAGTTCTGTCACTGCACCCCAACTCAAAGATCAAGGATACCCTCATAGTATCCTGGTCCTTTTGGCTGATTCTGCTTCCTTAGGGTGATGCCCTCGCCTTCTTTAAGCTACCCTCCAGCAGGCCAAGCCAAACACCACCACCCCCATTCCCAAGGGCACCCCCACACATCGCACCATTTTGCAGCAATGACAACACAATTGGACACCCCTGCCTTTATGACCTTACCTTGGTGACCACACCCTGGCCACAGACCTGACTTCCAGCCTCATGGGCAGGAGTGCTGGAGCTTTGGTCCCCTAAACAGCTGAGGGCCTAGTGGATGGTGCAGCCAACAAAAAGATGCCAGTGTGGTTGAGTGACATCTCACATCGATCGTCCTGCATCCTTGATCTACTTCTCTGTTGGGATTTGAGGGAAACCCAATAAATGAAATATCATTTACCTCTCCAGCACAGAATCAATTGGCAGATGGAGGAAAGGCAAAAGGAGGGTCCACTTCATTACTGAGGACTGGTCAGAAGACAGACCTGAGCACACTTCTGGGAGTGGGGAGGACCAGGTATAGGACCGGTGCAGGACAGCTTGCCCCCGTGGACAGGTGAGGCTGTGGACACAACATTTCTCTGGAACACTCTGGTACTCATGCCTACCAGCCGCCATCCCGGGGAGAACAAATCACAGAGAGAGAAAATCCACAGTTGTCACACTGGGTTTTTAGCTATGGCCACTCCAAGCAATTCCCAATGGAGGCCCCTCATTATCTCTGCTCTTGGAGGGGAACATGAGTTTATTAACCTCATATCTTCCAGCTTTGCCTCCTCTTGCTGCACTCATCATGGGAGATTGGCACTTGATAGTCTCTGAAGATTCTAGAATGATCGATAACAGACACCATAAATGGAGGCACATGACTCCTCTCACCTGCTCTGAAAGCCCTCTATGGACCCCGCTGCAATCATACCTCCTATGAACTTGCCAAGCCTAGCACCTTTCAAACTTCCTCTCACACAAGGCACACTGGCAAAACTCAGGTCCCTCTCACATGCCACATCTGCTTCCTGCCTCAGGATCTTTAGCCCTAGCTGCCCTGCGCCTCGAAAGAACTCTTCCCCTTGGTACTTTGTATCCTCAAAGGGGCTTTAAATGTAGATGCTGTAATGGTTAGATGGTTCCACAGGTAAAAGCACTTGCAGTGGAGCCCTGGCAACTTGTTTGATCCCTGGATGGAAGAGTTGCTGTCTGATCTCTACACAGACACACTCCCACACATGCACACACACAAGCATGCATGCATGCTCACTGAGTGTGTTCTACCCAACCTGTCATTGTCCATCCATCACCTGGCTCTAGTGTGTTGCCTGGCTTTTCTGTCTCTTCCTCCCTTGCTATGTCCCTAGTGCCAGAAGTTACTGATATGATGCAGAAAAGTTTCTAAAATATGTATTATAGATTAGTAACTACATTAATACAGAGAGTGGTACCAGAGAAGAATTTGCTCGTGACGGTGGTGATGGGACCAGAGGCTCAGTCTGTGTCTTCCCAAGGGCCTCCCTGAATTTCCCGCCCTCTCATCCATCATGTTAGATGCAGGCTTCCCTCTCCTCTTCTTGTTCTACCACTGTTTGCATTATGGTCACTAGAAGCCAATGGAGTCATCTCCTCCCAGTTAATGTGGTTCTTTTTCCTTACAGACCCTGCATCCTGTTGTCAAAACTCTGACTTGACCACCCACACTCTCATAACTACACAGGAAACCAGAAAGGGATGGTAAAAGGTCCCATGGCAAAGTGTGATATGCTATGCAATTGTTAACCAGCTATCTGACCCTGCCACTAAGAAGTAGGATAGTCTAAGTACAGGACCAAGGGGAAAATGTTTGAATCTACATTCCAAGGGTTGGCAACAGAGCACTGGAGACAGTATACAGGCAGCAGAGAGGCAGAGAAACAAGGCTGCCAACAGTGCCTTCTAGAAAAGTATGTTGCTGGCATCCATTGAGCTTAATCCACCACCTTTATAGACTTTAATCATTTGCTGACTGTGGAGATGAACTCGATGAAGGGGATAAGATAGGAGGAGATTAAGTGATAAATATCTTCACCTTTAGACTTGCATCCATTGTCTGAGGCATCACAACCAAGTTTTCAAGTCATGGTTGAGTTGTCATGTGATGACTCAACTGTGGAAATCCATGGCCTGCTGGTGTGATTACCACAGCCTCCAGCCCCTTGTGTGTGTCTCTGCTTTTCAGGTTAGTTGACATCCCCTCAGTTCTCACAGTCCCTTGGCCTGCTCACTTCATCCCACAGCAAGGACATTTGCTAGGAGAATTGCCTAGCAAGGTAGAGTACCGTTGGTTAAGTAATGCCACCTATTAGGTATTTGGGACTGTGTCACTTTATTTAGTCGCAAAACTAACTCATAAGGCAGGTGCTGTAGCCTTCAGAGGCGGCGACTGTGGCTCCCTAGGAACCAAGAGGCAGGAGGGATGAGTTCAAGTTGCATTTCAAGAGAAAGCAGAGCACTTAATTCTGATGATCTCTGTATTTTCAACGAAGCAGAAAATGAGGGTGTCTCCTGAGAGGGTGGAAGGGAAGCAGAGCCAAACTGGAATACCAGCTGTAAGCCATGGGGGCCGGATGGGCTGGGATCTCACTAATGTGAGACTCCCCATGCTGTGTTTTATGCTATAACCTTCAATGTCATTAGGTTCTCACACGGGGCAGGGACTTCCCAAAGCCCCAATCACATGGACCTGATTATAAACCTAGAGTTTAATCAAAGTGGTTGCCTCGACAGAACAATCCCCTCAGACCGTTTGGCCCTGGACAAATGGCAGCAGCTGGAATTTTTGATAAGTCACCATACTTTGGTCACAAAAGGAGCTGTGTGACCTAAAGGTGGAGGAATTGGTGCTGGCTAGCCAATAAATTCAACCCCGGCCTCATTTCAAGGGTGTCCTAGTCAGGACACCACAAGTACCTGGAGGCTGGGACTGTTCTACAAGTACCTGGGGGCTGGGGCTGTCCTAGTCAGGACACCAAGTACCTGGAGGCCAGGGCTGTCCTAGCCAGGACACCTCTAGTACGAGGGGGGTGAGGCTGTTCTGACTTCCATTTTCTCACACGCTCCACCTCACCTGAGTTGGACCCTGCAACCTCCCCAGAACCACCAGCTGGACCCCAAAACATCAAAGGACACTAACCACACAGGACATCAGGGCCAGAAAGGCAGTTCAACATTTTATTTTTTCAACTGGAAGTTCCTCTTCCGGCCCTGGAGTTGATTGCGGTAGGCCTCCATCTCCTCGAAGTACTTGGCTCGCAGAAGCGCAGCCTTCTGTTCGTACGGCTGCTTGTCCACATTTGATGTTGTGGACCACATCTTCCCTGTGGCCTTGGCCACCTGCACTACTGACCAGTCGGGGTTGTCTTGCTTCAGTTGGGCATAGTGATCCAGAGAGAAGAGCAGGAAGGATGATGGGGGCTGCCGAGGCGCCTGTGGGTCCCGCTTTCTCCTCTTCCTTCTCTTGCCCATGTAATTCATCATTTCTTCCTGGTATCGGGCTTTGTCAAGCTTGGCCAGGGCTTCATACTTCGCCTTTTCGTGCTTTGGGATGGATCTCCATTTTTCTGAACACTTTCTAGAAAACTCTTTAAAGCCGAGGTAGGTGTTTGGCTGTTGCTCCTTGAATTTGTTCCTGTAATTCAGCATAAAGTGGATGTAAGAAGAGACATTCACCTTGGGCCTTAGCTGGGCTTCTTTTCCCATGTTTATATAACCATGATTTCCTTCTCTGGATCCCACTAATTCGGATAGCAGAGACTTCTGTCTCCACGCCCCAGGAGCAATCTAGAAGGTGCTCTGCTTGCGGTGAAATTTTCTCTGTGTGTGAGCCTCAGCCAGGGCTCGGCCTTTTCAGTGCTGGTGGCTTTGTTGAGTCAAAGAAGGGAAACTGTGATGTCATCCCCCAGCTGGCCAATGCCAACCAAGCTCCGTCATTTGCATGTAGGCCCTCTTAGTGGTTGGTTACTACAGGAATTTTATTTACTTCTAAAGAAATATGAGGGTTTATCTGAACCATATTAGAGCAGCTACTGGCCCTGGGAATCTTACCCCTTGGCTTCCTGGAGGCTGTGGGCTTTGCTCAGCCTCTAGGGGCTTTCTGTCTCTATCCCACAGTGGGTCATAACAAGGGCTGCCTCTCTCCATGTGAGATATCAGGATGCCGCCTCCTCATCCTCCACGTGGGATAGAAATAATGAACACAAGGAGGGAGGATGGTTCTGGAGCTGTCAGGATAATATGTGAAGGCTTTCTGTTTGCCTTGAGCAGTGGCAATGCCTGCTGCACAAAGGGTTTAGTAGTGACTCTAAAAATAATCAACGATGACAGCTGGGACTCGGTTCCTGTCAGGACAAAGTTGTCTAATTTAAAACCCAAGCTCTTGGGCTCGGAGTCAGAATCCTTCGTTTCTCTGAAGATATTTGAAGGGAAGGAGGGAGGAGAACCAGGGAGTTTCTTAATTACATTGGAGTGCTTGAAAATATGAATTCTTAGCTCTTTGTGAGGCCCTCACCGTCCTCAAAAGAGTTCCCATTTCTTAGGGTTAGTGCACAAAACAAAAGTAACAGCCGAGCAAATTGCCTCCTTTTGGGCAAAAGTAGTTAATACTCCACTAGCCATCCAACTGAGGAGAATGCAGTAAAGGCCAATAGACTTGTCTGTGTGTAAATGGATTTACTAAAAAGCCAGTGGATGACAGTAGTGTCACAAGCATGGGACAAGAAAACATTTTCTCATTGGCATAAAAAAGACCAAAGTTAAGCAGCCACCAACAGGTGGGAGCTGTGGCTCTTGAGTGTTGACTGATTGGAGCCACCATGCTGGAAACTTTTGGGGGAGGACTAGGTGTGAGGTTGTTTTTGTTTGGTTTTGGTTTTTGTGTTTTGTTTTGTTTTTTTGTTTGTCTCAGCCCATACAAGCTGTGTCCTGGGGTTCAGTGGGGAGAGGTTCCGAAGTACACTGATGGTCTCAGCAGCAGAGTCCTGCCAGGAAAGTATTATCAGACCTCTGAGACTGGCTTCAAAGGTTGGCTTCTAGTGAGGAAAGTGATCTATCCCACCACTCCTTGCCTGTGAGCCTGTGATTTCTCCTTAAATATGTTTACACTAGCAGGGTGCTTTGCTCCAGGTGACCTGTTAGGTACCATGCCAGTAGAAGGCCCTCTACTCTTTTTTCTCTTCTCTTCTCTTCTCTTCTCCTCTCCTCTCCTCTCCTCTTCTCTCCTTTCCTCTCGTCTTTTCTCTTCCCATTCCTCTCCTCTTTCCTCTTCATTTCTCTTCTCTTCTCCCTTCCCCATCTCTTCTCTCTCTTTTCTCTCTCCTCTCTTCCTCTCTCCTACCCTTGCACTCTCTCTCTCTCCCTCTCCATTTCTCTATATGCATGACTGGCCCATGAGAACATATTACTCTGGGATATTTATCAGTGTAGATCAATTTTAATTTTATTTTAAGGGAAAGAGCTTGATTTACCTGTGTGCTGGAGTTGGACTGATCTTCAGAGATGAGTGTAACACACTCCTGCCTAAGAACAAAACTGAGATGTGAGAAAGAGCTTCAATCTACACATACTAACCAGGCTGCCCAGGCATACACACACACACACACACACACACACACACACACACACACGCACGCACGCACGCACGCACGCACGCACGCACGCATACACGCACATGCATGCAGCTGCCTTCCATCATAGCCATGATAAACATCTGTATATTAGCAGACACAGGAGGAAAAGGAAAAAAAAGATATGAGAGCCATGGGATACTCTCTCATACATAGCTTTTAGACATAGATCTGGGGAGTGCCAGCCTACAATCCCATGGCCAGAGAGTCTGGGAAACAGAACCTCCATCCAACAACTGATGGAAGCAGAGGCAAACTCCCACAGCTAAACACTGAGCTGAACTCAAGGAACCCAGTGACAAAGAGGGAGGATTGATAAGCAAAGGGGGTAAGACTGAGCTGGTTTAACCCCCAGAAACAGCTGACCTGAACAAGGCATAGCTCTTGAATCCCAGACTGATGGCTGGGAATTCAGTATGAAACTGATCAAGACACCCTGAATATGGGTGTCAGTGAGGAGGCCTAGGCAATCTATGAGGCTTTGGGTAGTATTTATCCCTGGCATACAAATGGACTTTGGGTGCCCATCCAACAATGAGAGATGCACTCTCACCCTGGGCTCTTGGGGGAGGGTCTAAGTCCTGCCCTGGATGAAATGACAGACTATGGATACCCCCATGGAGGGCCTCAGCCTCCCTGGGGAAACGAGGGAGTATGGGGGAGTGGAGGGAGGGTGTGGGAGGAGGGGAAGGAGAGGGAGAGGGACCTGGGATTGACATATGAAGCAACCTTGTTTCTGATTTAAATTTAAATTTAAAATTAAAAATAAAAAAGCCATGGGAATCTGTTGTTGTGCAGGCCACATGATAGTCTTGGAAGGATGACGGGGAATGTTTTGGCCAGGGAAGCTGACTTGGGTGACCTGCTTCTGATGTCAATGCTGTGTGCTGGGGAAGGCCTACTGCTTGCCCTTCCCTGGCTACTCTACAAGGAAGATGATCAACCTGGGCCACCCCAAGGACCATTTCATGTGACTAGCTAGTGAAGGACTCCAAAAGAGCAGGAATGGAAGAAGTGAGTTTGAGGCACCTATCTCCTGGCTCCACCCCCTTGAGGTCACCTGGAGCTGTCACCTCCCTGGACTAGAGGTCTTTTCCCATGGCACATGTCCTCTCTAACACAGCTGGTCACAGTTCTGTTGTCACTGACTCTGAGTCCTCTGTCACTTCCTACATCCAAGGACCTTCCTGAATGCTGCCCCTCACTTTTGTAGATAGTCTTAATTTGAGTTACTTGGGGTTCTTGAGGGCCCCTTTCCTTGGTGCTGGGAATAAGAGGTGAGAAGAGTATGGATTCCAGGGACAGACAGACAGGAATTCCAAAGCTAGCTTTGCTTGTCAACAGGGGTCTTCGATCAAGTCTTTAAGAACGCAGTGACAGAACTGGAGAGATGTCTCAGTTGGTAAGCTGTTTGCCATGAAAGCTCGAGGACCTCAGTTTGGTTTCCAGAACCCACATTACAAAGGGAAACAAAACAAAAACTAGCACTGGGAGGCAGAGACAAGAGGTTCCCTGGTGGTCACTAACTTACCTGAGTCAGTGACCCCCAGGCCAGTGAGGGAGACCCTGTGTCAAAGAGACAAGGCAGAGAGCAGCAGGAACCGCACCAGAGGAGGTTGACCTCTGTCCTCCATGTGCTTGTGCAAGCACGCGCGTCAACGCACGCACCCACACACATAAACACAGACACACAAGACAAAGCAGTATAGGATGCTGCCAAAGCCAGGATTTACAGACTGAAATGAAAGGAGAAAAAGCAGTAGACACTGTGCTCTCCACTATGGTATAGGCTGGACCCAGGGTCAGGAAAAGGACAACAGTGTGTTTCTATAGCAGAGGAACCTGGTAGGCATCACTTCAGCTGAAATGTCCAGGGGGTCAGCAGCAGTAATGTGTCTCACTGACAGCACACAACTCCTTTCTATGATGCCACAATAAGAGCATTGACCTCAGTGGTGGCCTCGCTCTGCACTCATATCCTAGGTCCAGTCCCAAGAAAAGAGCCACATACAGGATCCAAACATATGGTTGGTGTTCTTTAAGCATCAAGGTCTTGGGGAAAGAAGAAATCTAATACATCTTGGATAAGGCTTAAGTAATGTGGCAACTCAATAGGAGGAAAGGTTCAGGGTTGGATGTTGGAAGCAGTAAAGGAGGCATTAGGAGATGGCTGGGAACATCTGGATTAAGCCTTCCAGTAGCCGGTATTGTAGCAATGCCGATTTCTGAGGTTTAATGCATGCTCTTTAAGTATGACACCAAACTTAGAGAATGGGGGAAGAGCATGCAGCACCACGGTCTGGTGAGTAGGTAGACAGGAAACAGAAAAAGATCAGGTACAAGAGTGAGAACATGATAGTGAGGGTCAGACCAGCCTGGTCACCTCTGGAAAGGCAGATCTAGAACTAGACCATGTGTGGGTGCGGGGTGGGGTGGGAGAATCCCTCACAGGCCCTGGCAAAGCCATTCAAACCACTGGGTTAGACACTGTCCCTATTGTATCCAATTTCCTGACCTTCCAACCATGGTGGCCACCTCACATTCCTGCAATATATTACATTTTTTTTAGAACTGTTCTCACACCAATCTTAGGGCTCTTCTGGAACCTATGCCCTTGTCCTAAGCAATGGGCCCATGGCCTAGGCAAGTGACCTGAGACCCGCTGTAGGTCCTTTTTGTTTACCATTAGAAAAGATGTCTGTGTTCTTTCTGGTGATGAAGACGTGAGGGTGAATCAAGGAGCTGCTGAGTGGTTCATCCTCAAGCAGCTGCCATTTGACGTTGACTGGCAGACAGCCCTACGAGCTAGGCTGGTGGCATTTGAGCTCCTAACACTGGACATCTCCGAGCAAGCTGCAGCCTTGCTCTTCTGTGGTTTGGTTACAACAGCTACTGGTTGCTTCTCTGTTCCAGACTGATCTGAATTTCTTCCACAGAAAGCCACTAGTACATAGAACACACAGAGGTATGATGGAATGTGATGCATAGCACAGGCACAGGTGTGACAGGATGGAATACATAGCACAGACACAGGTCTGATGGAATGGGATACATGTCATGGACACAGGTATGACGGGATGGAATACATGTCATGGACAGGTGTGAGGGGATGGGATACATGTCATGGACAGGTGTGAGGGGATGGAATACATGTCATGGGCACAGGTGTGACGGGGTGGAATACATGTCATGGACACAGGTGTGACAGGGT